TATATATATATATACATAATACCCTTTCTCCCAATATACTGCGTAATAATTTATATATATTATTTTGTTGTACCACTTGTATATTAATGGTTACACTATATAATGTATATTATGTGCAGGCCGTTGAATCTGGAGCTGCAGGTCAAATGAGGGAGGAGGAAGTAATCAAGTCTCTTTTCTATGTACAACTAATGCTCGTACATATACATATATTAATACTTGTTCATCGCGTCATATGGATCTCCGTTTCGAGTACACGAGAGATGTTATCTTGGGCTGCATTACTTATCTGCCCGATTTATTGTAGAGCTCTCGCATTCAATTATGTAACTCAACGGGCCCCGAGTGGTACATCGGTGCACGTGGTACGAGCACATATTATTGGTCGTTCGGGTGCAATTGTTGTAGCAAGTGTGTCACAAGTTCCTTACGCTTTTGTTTGCAATGTAACTTACAAGTGTTTATAATTGTATCGATAAAATTATACGTGGGGAATCGCCGACAGAACATCGATCACTCGACGTTTCACTGCTCCAAAATTTTTTGACCATTGGTGCATATAGGTGTGTACCATTTTGATACAATGAATTGTACAGCTTATTTTCGAGAAAAATAGTCACCAGAGTGCACTGGATGGAGCATGCATGATATTTTAGTTTGGTTAAACCGAGCAAAGAAAAGGAGTAAGTACGTGTGTGGGTTCATGAATTTTGTATTCATGTGTGAGTATACACACATTTACTATAATACACACCGAGTGCTGATAAGGACAATGTCGGTCGTTTTATCGCCGCGACAACCAACGGCAGCGCCAACAGTTACAAAAGGCACGGCGAGCCATTGAGCATGGGTGTAGGTACATCCATCCTTCAGCTCTACGAATGCTCGAGATTTTTTTACTCGTACGCACAGCAGTTTTTAGCTCTCGTCGTCTCATTTTATGGCACGTGTGTATGTACGTATATAGGTTGAAATACACGTGTGTATTATTCACACAGAGTTTGATTAAAAGTTCAAGGGGAATTTTTCACGAAATTGAATAAGCTGAGATGAAGGAATTTATGACCGATTTTTCGTATGACTTACTGGTGGAATGTATTGACCGGGTCTATGAAGCCAACGGCCAAACTTGACTGAATTATATTTGACTGTTAAATTGGTAATCTAATATCATTGCGATGTTCAGGACATTTGTTACTTTTATTAATATTTACCCAATGTCTACTATAATAATACAAACCATAAAAATCACTGTACAAACGATAAATATTATTGTTCAGAAGAGTAAAAATTACCGTACAATCGGTTTAAAAAGTTTTAATATGTATAAGGACGGAGCGGTATACCAAAGGACCATTGTAGTACAGTAATTTTTTATAAACTTTTTTTCTCTCACGGTGTAGTAAACATCGTTTCATGGCCGTATGAGCGATAACAACATCAATGTAATGATTATACACACATCAGCAAATGTTCAATGAATCGTACAATATACACGTAATATGCAAGTACTTTCACTGATGCATGTTTGGGTACTGATTTATAATCATTCGTGTAAACCTTGTGTAAACGCAACGTTTAAAACTCGCAAAAGAAAATTTTGCCAACGCGGTTTTCCCCCAAATGTTCGGTATCCACGGGTATACTTGAAAATCGTGCTTGGACGCACGCACGCGTGGCTTGAAAGCTCTTGCTTAAAATTTAATTATCACCGGCTTAGTAAAAACCACAGCGAAGCCGAGAGAGTTGTAAACATGATATCTACGGTGTAATATTTGCGTAGAAAAAAAAAAAAAAAAAAAAAAAAAAAAAAAAAAAAAATTTGCTCAAACTGCGCGACTAGTAAATATTACACAAGGTTTTTCGTGGACCTATAAAAATTATAAATAGAATATCCTCCTTTCCCCTCTTTAACGACGCGACCCTGTATATAGATGCATATTATTTGTTGACAAAAAGTATTTATTCGAATGAGTGATCCAAAAAAGTTTTATAATAAAAAGAAAAAAAACTGGAAAAAAAAAAAAATTATCCACTCGTAAAAAAAAAAGCATAGGTAGGCTAGTAGTATTAAACACCAGTGGTATAAAAATTGGAGAAGAGGAAAAAAAAAACCTTTAAACAATAAACATCTGTCCCACGAAGGTAAAAAGAGAACGAAGCTACATCCTTTTGAATTGTTCCAAAAGAGCAAGATGCGAAGCGTCAGGATATCGATCAAACGCATCGATTCAGCCCGAGCAGATGTTTCTGGCAGCTTCAACTTCAAGAGCGGAAGGGAGCATAATCCATTTCCGAGAAACGAGATCAGTAGGCATAAAATGTGTATATATATATATAGTTGTACATTGGTAACACAGACACAGATGAGCCGCGTCAGCTGTTATACCATATACATACCTGTAGCATTTACCTGTTTGCAGTAAATGCAAGGAGCTCTCATATATAAACATTACTTCATCCTTACAGTCGGACGGTTGGCTGAGCTATGTCTGCTAGGACAGTCTTTGCGAGCAGCATCGTCGGGGGGTGACCCCCCCCCTCTCGGTTTTTTCAAAAACCCTACCATCACCAGTACCACCACTCTTTGCAAAAATCATGGTTAACCGACTCTACTAAGTCCGCCCCTCCCTTTGCCCCCACCACGTACCCAAAACGGCGGAGAGAGGAGAAATGCGGCCGGCGGTCGTGGGCGGCTCAGCTGCGGCGGCTCGAGTAGTCTGCGCCACTCTGCACCACCACCGGCTGTCGCTCGTTACGTTGGGTGCCGCTCCTCCAGCCGGCATTCTGACCTGGTAAGCCGCCAGTGTCGGGTCAGTTGCAGGACAACCACTCCGTCGTTTATACACGCTATTCTCACGCATACTCTCTTCCACAGCGACAACACGACACCGGCTCGGCTCCCCCTCCACACCCCCGGTCGTTGTTGATGTTCTCAAGGAACAAGAGAGTAGAGTTGGTGCGGGCATTTAAATCCTCGTACTCGTGTAATTAAACGCACGGGAGGACAACAACAACATAATCGACCGGTGTGCGGAAACTGTGCGGTTCGTTGTGTGTAAAGTCGAAATAACGAGGATAAGCCTATCGTCTTGTAAATGTATATATTCATAAATAGTAGTAAAAGTGTCGTGTGTAGAGCTCAGTACTGTACACCAGTCCTCCGAGTTGAGCTGTGAATTTTATCTCTGCATCATCGGCTCGTTGTTCGGGGGAACACGCTAAGCGAGAGAAAAAAAAAAAAAAAAAAAGTGTCGGCCTTCCACTGCAGTACTTATACACTCCTCTACGTGTTCGAAGTATCTGCTGTTTGGTACGTTACGAGTACACAGAGTCATAGCCATGGAACTGCTGTGCTGCGAGACCACGGGGCCAAACGAGTGCACTGCTTACCCGGACCCGGCCATTCTCGGCGACGAACGTGTCCTCCAGAACCTACTCAGAAGTGAGGAGCGCTACGCACCCTCAGCCTCGTACTTTGGCTGCGTCCAACGCGACATATCGCCGGTTATGCGCAAAATCGTCGCCGAGTGGATGCTCGAGGTAAGCAACCGTTCCTTACAAGAATACATATACTTTTATAAGTAGTTTTCTTTTACTATTTTTAATCCCAATACCATGTGCGTATACCTCGATCTCTTCCCTGCCTGTGCAGTATTTGTACAGTTATTAAATGTCAGGCCGTCCATTAGTCTTGAACGTGTTGAGGAATTTTTTTCTCATTAATTTCGAGTAATGTCTGTTTCTTTATCGCACGGCATGACATATCCAAATTATTGATTCGATAGAGCGCCGCGGGGCAATAGATATATTTATAGGAAAAAGAATGTTCATTTAAAGGAATGCCGCAGAGCATCAGCTGATTTCGGCACACATACCTACACACATACAACGAGTATAATTCAACGTCTATTACGTGCGTGTATATAACACGCGCATTATATGGGCCTCGGAATTTTGTAAGCATCTTCAAAGAAAGTCGACGCGCCCGGCGAGTTAAAAAAATATCAATCCTCGTTTCCTGTAACAACATTGACAGTGTTAAAGTGAGGAAGAAACGACAGTCGCAGCATCAGCTGATGTGGCTCACCGCGTGCCATCTCATGTGTATGTAAAAATACCGTTAATTAAATTACACAAAGTCAGCAGCGGGTGAGGAAAACTCTCGAGAAACAAAAGAGCATCAAATCGAGCGATTTTTGAAAATAAACTAGTCGTACTCGTTTTTTTAGAGAAATTTTTATTTCCTTTTAGGCCACACAACATGAACGCCAAATCACGTGGCGCTGGCTGCGTTCGACTGTCTTTTCCTCTCCATGGGCTACATGTATCAATACTACTATACACACATACACGGCTTGGATCTTCTCTTTCAGCAGCAGCTGCTGCCGATTCCCGGTAGCGCGTGTCGACTATTCTCCAACAAACATCTTCGGAACACCGGGTCACAGACGGTCCCTACAATCTCCCTGGCTCTTTCTTTCGTTTTTTCCGCGAATCTCCGGCTGATGATGGTCGGTCTGCGTTTGTCCACCCCGAATATAGAGAGAGAGTCACCCGTCACGGATGATTTTTATTTCGCGCAAGGGCGTGGGTTTTCTTATCGAGTTACGTCAGCATCCACCCACTACACGTACACGAAATCCTCCTCGCCGGGCTTTGATACACTTAACTTTTATTTTTAAACTCTCGCGAGAGCCATGCGCCTCTCCTTCTTTCTTCCTTCCTAACTCACTGGGCTCTTTTTTATGTATTTCCAAAACTTTTCTCCTCCTCCTCCTCAGCCTCATTTGATCGTGAAACTAAAAAAAAAAAAAAACCAAAAAAAAGGAGCGATCGGCCGATTTATTGTTCCTCTTTCGCGTTTCCGAGCTATTTAAATTTCAACATCGGCGACCGGCTTGCGGTGGGAGGGGGGGAGGAGGAGGCCTTTAAACTTTAGGAATCACCGATTGCCTAATATAGCTTCTCATACACGTGTATAGTAAAATAGTGATGTAGCCTGTGGTTATTGTTATATGTATATGCACTGTCGCTTGTGCATTGACTTTGGCTTGCTATGTGTAAAAATGCGTCTATTATTTGATTTTCTTCCTCTGTCCCCGCATATATATATATAGAGGCGATGTGCGGGAAAAAGGACGATCGCAATGAAGCAAGGCTATTGAACCCTAGCGTAAAATTATACACCTACACCCGAGAGCAGCACACTGTATAACACTGTAGGCACACACACCTATACAGAGATAGGCTCCGCGTTGCACGTGCACACACATAATTTTGCCATTCGTGTTTTTTTTTTTTTTTTTTTTTTAATGTGAATTTCTCGCTGGCACATACACACTCGCTCCCTAATCTCTGTCGTTTTTTTTTTTTTTTTTTGTTTAAAGTGTCTCTTAAAGTCGAGTATACACGCATCTAAAACTAGCTCAACTTTTTTCCTTCTGGAATTGATAAATAACTGAAGTAACCCCGAGATGCCACGTATGTTTCTTCATTTGTCTCTCGACTTATTTGAGTACACTTAATTTGTTATAACTAATTAAGATACTTGATTGATAAGATAGGGTAACAAATAAATTACAAAAAAAAAAAAGATATTTTATAACAGCGCATATGTTTATATTGTCAACCATAGCTCTTTTCAAACTTTATGGTGTTTTGAAAATTTGCGTTGGTACTTTATGTGCACTTGTTCCAAATATTTTTTTTTTTCAAGTACAAAGATTTCGTATTACATCGTGCATTTGTTGTCAAACCTTATCAATCGACTTAATTGATCATTAAAAATACAATGGCCTTTTCTCACACTACGACAAACTATGTACGTATCCATATGCTCCTGAGTTCTGATGTGTAAAAAACAAATGTACATGACATACATCAATTGATAAACGAACAATGCGATGCTTTTTTTTTGTTCCCTCTTTATCGTTGTTTTTCTACCATCAATAAGATTTCGTATTTAAATACCGAATGGTTGCTGTTGAAGTTCTTTGAATGCTCACTAATAGACGCTTCGACGTAAAAATGCACGTCTGTTGCAACACGGGGAGAATGCCTGTCCCACCCACGCATTGCAATATCGTCGTTCGGTTTCTCATCATTTCGAGCTCGCGAAATTCAAATGAATTCGGTTAAAAAATCGTGGCCATATTGCGCCCGTACAAGTCTTATTATTACAAATACATAAGGAAAAAAAAGCCCACACGCGTGTATAATATACAGCATATATTACAATACACACACATACGAAAAAAGCCGTGTTGATGTGCCTCGTACGGAAATTACACATGTCGCCGGTCTGTCTCCGTCTCTCTTGCTTCCTCTTTCCTCTCTTCTGTGTGCCCTCTCTCTCGCGTTGTCTCGCTCATTCTTTTTTATCGCCTCGAAAACCTTTTTCGCTTCTCTCTCTCTCTCTCTCTCTCTCGCTTTAGCCTACACGCTTTCTCGCCCTGACTCACTTTTTTCCTCTTCCTCTTCTCCTTCTTTCTTTGCTTCCTTTGCCGGCCGGGAGCACTTCTTTTCTCTCACACTCCATATATACATATATACATTCGGCTACCTATATGTGTACAGGTATAGTACATACAATCATGTACGCATTTTAACACGGTGTACACAACATGTATATAGGTAATATGGCATAGCAAAAATTTAGCGACAAGCATCATCATTCCCCTAGCGAGAATAAACTATGAGTATATTATATAGGTCCAATTTCAAGACTTTTTTTACGTCTCCTTCCCTACGTAATATAATATCTCGTATAATATAGTATCCAGCTGTAAAGAAATTAAATTTCAACACCCGAGTTATCGAGCTCGTTAATTTACAACCGTATTTCGTTTAAAAGACTATATGTGTTTACACCTCTCGCTGACATAACCTAAAAAACGCGATTCAATGTGTCACTGGAATAAAATTATATGGTATACACGTGAAATGAATTTGATGATACGAACGCAACTCTTTATAGCCCCCCGTGAAGCAAAAGAAAAAAAAAAGGAGGAGGAGAAAAGCCGCGTTTCTCGAAATCGATTGAAACTCATTCGCCGGAGCACGTGGTACATATCTACTCTCGAAATCCCAATGATCACGCGTACACGTGCATTATACCTATATATCGCGAGAACCCCCCAAGTTGGAGGAAGGGAGAAAAAAAAATCGCAGCGTTTATACCAAATCGGAGAGACAAAGATGTACATACACGTGTCACGGACATAGTATAATTACATGGTACACATGCATGATATACCCATATAAATTACAGCGACCCGGGGCTCTCGACGAAGCCCGTATACGAGAGAAGTCGGGCGACCTTGACGTGCTTTGCTTTGGCTTAACATCTATTTCTCTGGGAGGAGCGTACCCATGGGTATGCATACCTATACATGCAGGGTACATACACCACACACGGTGTAATAGAGTAAGGAGGAGATGAGATGGATAAGCCTCAAATACACACACGATTACTTTAGGGCCTCATCTCTTTCTCCCTCTTTAGCTCGATTACACACGGTTACACACGTTGTGTACTCGTGAACATCACCCGTGCACTGTTATCTCTCAGCGTGGGTTAACTCTCTTCTTTTTGCCGCATCGGACATGGATATATATATACGGAACAGGATGTGTGCCATTTCATCGAAGTAATCGAATTGCCGAAAGTGCGGAGTATCCGCAAAAGTAATACCGCACGCGCGCGCGTCACGTGACCTCCGAACGAACGAGCGCCCACACACCATCGCGTTTGCCCATTTAAATTTTAAAACGCCAAACGACAACGATGCCCATTGAGAATCGCATGTATCGACATTTGGACGCTCAGTACACTTACAGAACATTATACAGTATAGCCGTGTCTTTCCCGTGTGCGTACGCCTATGAAAAAAAATTAACAAAACTTGAAAATTAACACGCGAGCGCAATTATTGAGTCAAAAGGGTTTAATTGGCGAAATCTCCGTGCCCCCCTCCCGCTTCCTTTAGCTGTAGGCAATTACCCTGTAAAATTAAAATCTCGCTGCATCGGTAGCTGCCACGCGGGGGGTGACAATAATTGGTATTGCAACTGTAATAATATACTGTCTAATAATTAAAAGAGTGCGTGGTGCCCTCCTTGCCTTCGCTGTTTCATTTCCCGCGCCAAAGGGTCGTTGCAGCTGTGCAATTACGGTAGTCCGACTAGTGCGCGCGAGGGGGATACAAAAAAAAAGAAAGAAATAGTATAGCCGTAACGAGTATAGTTGACACCTTTGAGGGGAAAATTGAGTCGCGATGTTTATTGGATAAAATTGCACGGTTAATGTGGCGTGTTGGTTATAGATTTAACAGATTAAAAATCGACGGGGAATAGCTGCCATAACATCTGCAGGGATTTGGGAAAAATTCCTCCCCCCCCCCCAAGTAAGTTTAAATAAATAAATGTTACTTTGCTACGCGGGCCTTTAAACTCGTTTCTCGGTGCGATTTCACGAAACAACAGAGCCCACGAGGAGCACAAAAAGTGTGTGCTCTAAAAAAAATTGCACGCAAACTCGAATCGCGAAACAATGCTCTCAAGAATCAGCAACAACAGCTTCCTTTCAATCGAAAGGAAGCGCATTCGTTCCTTCCTTCCTTCCTTCCACTCACTCGTACATGTATATACAGCAACTGCCCCAGACTGCATCTATACGCACTTCCTGTCCTGCCGTCCATATGTCGGCCGCCGCCACCGTTTGAGCGCGAGAGAATTTTTTTTTTCGGTGTCCCCACCCACCCTCTTTTCTTACTTCCTTCACGCACAATACCGTATACGCACTGCAGCCGTGGTTTTAACGCATACCCGAACCCCCCCGGGGTCGTGTTTTCTCATATAGGTGTGCGAGGAACAAAAGTGCCAAGAGGAGGTGTTTCCGCTGTCCATGAACTACCTGGACAGGTTCCTCAGCATCTGCCCGATCAGGAAGTCGCAGCTCCAGCTACTCGGCACCGTATGTCTGCTCCTCGCGTCCAAGTTGCGCGAGGCCAGGCCCATTTCCGCCGAACAGCTCGTACTCTACACCGACAACTCCATCACGCTCGACGACCTTTGGGTGAGTATTGCGAATGCACTTTTTTTGCTTTTATTTTTTCCACATAAGGACACGTTTGGCCAAGTAAATCGGTTTTTGGGATAACAATTGTATCTTCCGGACTTTTTTTTTTTTATTGAAATGTAGCACACACATTACGTTCGTGTACGAAAATACGAGCCCAGTTAAACACATGGATCGAGAGCAAAGATCGGCGCAATAAATAAAACGAAAATACGCACGGAAAACCGTCGCCTCCCATTAATTCAAAACCTTGACCGCTTGGGGCTTTTTCGTTTCTCTCTCTCTCCCTCCGTCTCTCGCGAGTCCCAATAAATCGTTCGAGCCGTGTAGAGCGAATCTGGCGATTATCCAAGTTCAGCGGTCTCGTCGCCCAAGAGTTCACTGCACCTCTGCACTATACGACGCTCAACCACGTGTATTTGAAACTTCGCCGTGTGGTGCACTCTCCTCGTATGCGCTAAAGCTGATAATGTGCAAGGGTGACAATGGTTGTCGATTTTTTTCTCTCTCTCTTTTCTCACACGTAACAAAGACGAAGTTTCGCACTATTGTGTGAGTGTTTTCTCCATCTCTCTCTTTGTGAAGTGCCCGCAATTATGACGCATTGTTGCCGTGTACACTCGGCGCGATTTGAATTTAAACGCGAAACTTCATTGAACCGCTCACCGAGGAGAAGTCGGTGAACGCTGTGCGAGCTTCGGGAAGGAAATCGATTGTATATGTAACCATCGCGCTTGGCCTAAGAGAGAAAAAAGTATATATTATTATCTTCATCGCGATTTCGCGCGTCGGCCGTTCCAGAGGGGAGCGAACATACATGTGATATAATCGACTCTGAGAACGGAATGTCCTCCGCGAATAAGTAACGACGAAACGAGAGAAGCGAGGGAACAACAACGAGATATTTGCGCGGTGCGCGCGTACATGGCTCACTTTGGAATTCGATCGGCGAATGATTTATCGCCTGGGATTGTTTAGGCGTCGGCTCCCCCGACCTCCTTTTCCTTTTTTTTTTCTTTTCTTTTCGGGGACCCGAAAGACCAGCCGACTTTAATCTTTCGAGCGAAGGCCGCCGAATGTGTATACTCGCTCTTTGCTCGGCTCTCTCCTTCGGGAGCATTTTTTTTTTTTTTTTTTTTTTTTTAATGTGAATTTCAACGGAGAAGTCACATATTCGTGTAAGCGTTAGAATATTTAATATTACATAAAGTTGCGTAAAAAGCCAAGCAATCGCATACCCATGCAAACGTGCCGATTCTCTAAAACGCGTTGGAAGTATAGTTACAGTCAAGATGTGTCGTTGCTGCAACGCGCGCTCATATACCTGTACATTGAAAGACAAAACAGATAAAACGTCCGTTATTGATACGGGCCTGCGCGCACATGTATGTCCCTTTTGTGTGTTATACGGGATAGCTATAGATACGTTGAACGGCCAACGCGATCGGTATTAAATCGGTAGCTTTTCACAGCTTTCGGTATCGGTACCCTCGTTTTATCTGTTGAACAATGTGCTCGTATATGACGTTAAGGAGGATATATTTTCATTTGTACGCTCGCCACAAACCGACGTATGTATAAACATAATGTGATTACGGGCATGAAACATGTTGTGTCTACAACTTGTGTGCTAGTATATTACAAAAATTTATTTCTACGTTACCTATACCATCATCAACTATACGCAGGAAAAGCGACAAATTCAAAGTTGTGTTGCGTCCCTTGGTATATTATATACCTACACATTGGTAAAGGGGATGCTCGTCTCGTTCCTCCATCGCACCTGGCGTGCGCGCCTGCACTGATGCTGCCAAACATCCGATCGCCCCTATAGAAAATTTGAAGAGAAAAGGAAGAAAGAAACGAAGTTCAGACCCTCCCGCATCATCCGAGAGTATATTATACCTATAAGCGTGCATCTTCGGAAATAATTTGTAAAACTTGGCTCTCTCTCTCTCTCTCTTTCTCTCTGTCTTTGTGTGACGAGTTTGACGAGTCACCCTTGGACGACACACACACACACCTGCCATGTGCTCTTGTCCTCTTTCGAGACAAAAAACAACAGTGGTCAAACACAAAGTTGTACAAGTATGTAGTTAACTCAGTTGGACTATAAATACATCGACTACTCCCGCATCCATGGGCACATAAGGTAATAAATGATGTTAACTGTATACGTAAGTGTAGGCATAGGTCGATGAAATCTATGGGCACGTTGCATCAAAAAAAAAATTTTTTTTTTTTCTACTCTGCTGCAATTAAATCGACGCGCCGGGGTAATCGTTGCCGGCTGCGAATCGGGCGTCCTGTCCCGTATACGCGATACACATGTACGTATATACATTTTATGCACACGCGCGAGTGGTATAATGAAAGGATAACGCGCAGGTGAGCTGCTGCTGCTGGAGTTGAGAGGACGTCGATAGACTACCTATACTTGTACACAATAAGCATTACAATGCACGTGTGTGTGTGTGTATAGAGAAAGGGAGCAGCGAGGAGGAGATGGAGCGCCAGGTGGTGGCCGAGGGTTGCACCGGGCGTTCTCCTCTCCCTCCCAACTTTTAGCGACAGCTGCGACGAGCACGGTATACTCTGTTTCCTCTCTCTCTCTCCTCTTTGAAGCTCGGACGCGTGGCACATCCATATATATATATACAAGATGCGTATATACATATACATGTTACATACATACGTGTCGATAATAGTCAAAGAGATTTCGCTTCTTTTCCCCCTGAGGGTGATGGCTTGCAGTCCGCCACGACTTGTTGCGTCTCATCCCTTAGGTGCACCTATATGCTTCCTGTTGCTCATTGTCGCTCCGGTATGTATAGCAGTATATAAGCAGTGACGTGTCGTCTTCCTTGCATTTCGGATTTTTCGAGACCTAGGAGACGCACTGCTCACTTCCGGTAGGTTGGTTGTTTGTCCTCTGCCTCTTCTTCCAAAGCACCGAGCTCTTGTCTCTCTTACTCGCCGATTTCGTTGTTTCGATAGTTTTTCGCTCTTTTTGGTTTGCTTTGGTGGGCTTCACATGGACTATCGATAAATCATTACACGTGCAATGTGTGATAGGTATGTACAAATTGTTCGTCGAACGCACCCCCGGCACCTGCACGCAAATTACACGCGCAATCCCCCGGTGGCATATTTACCAAGTATTTTTTTTTTTATCCCCCTTTTGGAAGCAAATCGACCCTCGACCGCATATGGTGCACATTATCGCGAATTCCAATAAAATTAACACTCGCGTTGTAAACAACAATAAATACATAAAGAGGAGCAGAAGGAAGGAGGAGGAGGAGGAGCAGAGGCACGTGCAGGACGCGCGTCCAACAACGATATATATTATATGTATTATGTTGCGTAGGTACGCGCAAAACGATTAAAGCCAAACGGCAGTGGAAATCGGTAATGAGCGCGCACCTGCTTCCCTCGTGCATCGGAGTGGGTATACAGCAATTAGAGGGAGACAGTTGTGCAAGATATATAAGGCACACGCCACCTTTCGCACTGCACCAATTTGTACATACATATATATGTGTGTGGATATACATTTATGTAAGCGCTTTCCACCTGCTCCATATATATTTGTATACCGATCTTTTCCAAGACGATCATTTTTTTCCCCTTCAACTCCAAGGTACCAGCTCTTTCGTCTGCGGGCACGCGCCGATAGGTATACTATATATACATGCAACTGCACACAATATAATGACAACCCTCAACCACGTGCATGCGTGTGATGCAGCAAAAGGAGCGCAACAGATGTTGCAACCTGTTGCGCCCGTATACGGGTACGTGCGTACTTGTTGCGTATACATGTATAGGTGGATAAATGCGCGAGGAGAGTCTTGCTGCCTCATCTCCGCCCCCGTATATACACTGCCTTCTTCTCGTTTTATTTTTTTTTTTTTTTTTATTTCCTTTCCTCGAGAGTCGGTTTCGTACATACGCCCCTTGTCCTTACGCATCTGCTAATGCGTTATTGTCAGTGTTGTTTATCCTGCTTCTTCTTCTTTCTCTGTGCATCTTTGAACAAACAAAAAACGCGTACTTTCGCGCAAAAGACGGAGGAAAAGGTGCTCGAGCTTCTCGACGCGTCGACGTTTCATTACGTGGATCAAGAGATTATGCGTGGACAGGGTTGCCGATCACCTGGACGACTTTTTTTTCCTCCCTGTCATTCTCTCGAGGGGCAGGGAAGGAAGTTGGCATTGTCGCCGAGGGTATTATTGGAAAGAGACGCGCCATGTGGTAGCCTTTTTTTTCTTCTTTTTCTTCTTCGGCATATGGTGCATTTCGTAGGTATAGGTATGCATTTTGGTGAAGGAAGATGGTCGATGCTTTCATTCCTTTGTTTTTTTCCTCTACGATTTTCTACGTGTCCTGTTGGCAGCGATTAAGGAGTTGGGATCGTTTATCCGACCGATTTTTACGCTATCCGAGCCTACGCAGCGAATGTACTTGGGTTTAATAAATAAATAAATCTCTTGAAGGAAAATTCCAAACCAAATTAAAAAAAAAAAAAACCAAGTATGTTAAACAGACACGGAACGAAGGAGAAAAAAAAACACGAGTACGAACAAACCGTAATCTTCGTGTTGTCTCCCCGCGATAACTATCTCACCCACGCATCACGTACGTAACATAATTATATATATACATACGAGTATGGGTACCTATATGCGATTGTCTCTATAGCCCTCACGATGTACACTACTCTTTTGGAGCAAAAGGCACGTGATGTACCTGCGGGTGTACGCGAGCGTGTACGTGTCTACGTTTCAACGTTACATTAAACTTGGACCCTAAGTATATACACGTATTAGCTGCATAGATATATTGGTACAATTAAAATGTGTGGGTGGATGTTTGACCACGAACACACACTCTCTCTATGTAATATATATGCCACTACGTGCCCGTTCTATATGTATTACATACCCGAGCATTTGTAAGAAAAGGGGAGGCAAAAGAAGGAAGCTATACTGTGT